CTCTCACGCCTGTAATCCCAACACTCGTTGGGAAGGCTGAGAGCGAGGGTGGAGTCATCGCGAGGTTCAGGAGTTCAAAAACCAGCCTGAGGTCAACAGAGGTGAAATCCTGTCTTACGTAAAAATACAAAATTAAGCCTGACATGGTGCAAACGAGCCTGTAGTCCCAGCTACTTGGAGAGGCATTAAGGCAGAGAATCACTTCAACTCGGAGCGGAGGGTTTGCATGACCTCCCTCCCTCCCTCCCTCCCTACCTCCTTCTTCCTTCCTTCCTTCCTTCCTGTTGTTTGAGATGGAGTTTTTGCTTTTGTTGCCCAGGCTGAAATGCAATGGCACAATCTCGGCAGATTTAGCCTTCCCCCTCTCGGGTTCAAACGATTCTGCTGCCTCAGCCTCCCGAGTAGCTGGAATTACAGGCATGCATCACCGCACCTGGCTAATTTTGTATTTTTAGTAGAGACGGGGTTTCACCATGTTGGCCAGGCTGGTTTTAAACTCCTGACCTCAGGTGATCCACCCACCTCGGCCCACTAAAGTGCTGGGATTACAGGTGTGAGCCACCTCGCCCGGACATTTATACATTTCTTTTCTTTCTTTTTTTTTTTTCTTGAGACGGAGTCTCGCTCTGTCACTACTCACTGCAACCTCTGCCTCCTGGGTTCAAGCAATCCTCCTGCCTCAGCCTCACTGAGTAGCTGGGATTACAGGCGCCCACCACCATACCTGGCTAGTTTTTGTATTTTTAGTAGAGACGGGATTTCACCATGTTGGCCAGGCTGGTCTCAAACTCCTGACCTCAGGTGATCCACCTGCTCAGCCTCCCAAAGTGCTGGGATTACAGGCATGAACCACTGTGCCTGGCTATACATTTCTTTAAAGAGGAAAAGGCATGTAGGAAACGGTGGGCTAGGCAGTGAGGCAAATAATTACATCCTTGTGAGATTTTAGTCAGTGCCCAGTAAATCTATGCTCTACATAAGGTGAACATTCGAAAATAGGGAGTAAGGAAGAGTTAATTACGTAGATGTCTCAGGGTAGGTGAAGGAATGATTGCTCTCATCCTGTTTTTTTTCTTGAGACAGGGTCTCACTTTGTCACCCATGCTGGAGTGCCATGGTGCAATCTTTGCTCACTGCAGCCTTGACCTCCTGGGCACAAGTGATCCTCCCATCTCAGCCTCCCAAGTAGTTGTGACCACAGGCATGTGGCACCATAAGCAACTAATTTTTGTACTTTTTGTAGAGACGGGGTCTCACTATGTTGCTCAGGCTGGTCTCAAACTCTTGGGGTCAAGTGATCCTCCCCACTTCAGCCTCCCAAAGTATTGAGATTACAGGTGTGAGCCACTGCACCTAGCCTTATCCTGTTTTTATTCTGTACCCAGGAAGATAAGCTTGTAATGGACATTGTTAGTATGAAAGTTAACACTTTAGTTTTGTGGACAAGGAGTTAGACTTAGGTAGTAGACTAAAGTTAGAGTTGGTATGTTTTTGTTTATGGGAGGAGATACATCTCGAAAGGTTTAGGGGTCTGCAAAGAATTTATGAGCAATTTGTGAGGGCAGTCATCCAGAGATCCCTGAGACCTTTTCCTTTTGTAGGGGTCTGGCTAATGTATAGCGCTTTGACACAAGATTGTGAAGTAACAGCTATCTATTCTTGAGAAAAGGACAGTGTTCCCTAACTTGGCCTCCAGGCTTAACTTTCCTTTTGACATAATGAGTTATGCGGGTCTAGAGACTTTTTTTTTCTTTTTTTTTTTTGAGACAGAGTTTTGCTCTGTCATCCAGGCTGGAGTGCAGTGGTGCCATCTTGGCTCACTGTAAGCTCTGCCTCCTGGGTTCACGCCATTCTCCTGCCTCAGCCTCCCAAGTAGCTGGGACTGCAGGCACCTGCCACCATGCCTGGCTAATTATTTTGCATTTTTGGTAGAGATGGGGTTTCACCGTGTTAGCCAGGATGGTCTCGATCTCCTGACCTTGTGATCCGCCTGCCTCAGTCTCCCGAAGTGCTGGGATTACAGGCGTGAGCCAACGTGCCTGACCTAATTTTGTATTTTTATTAGAGACACGGTTTCACCATGTTGGCCAGGCTGGTCTCGAACTCCTGACCTCAAGTGATCTGCCGGCCTTGGCCTCCCAAAGTGCTGGGATTACAGGCATGAGCCACCGTGCCTGGCGGTAGCAGCTATTTAGACAGGGCATGTATACCTCTACTTTGCCATAGTTTTACTGGTAGATGTTGTCAAGTCCCAGGTTCTTGGTGCCATGAACAAAGAGTTGGACATGACACACATACAAGTAGTAAAGCAGCAAACAGTTTGTTAAGCACAATGCGATCAGCAGTGGATCAGGCTGACCCATGAGTGGTATCAGCCCTGGTTTGTTACATTTCATGGCCTTTTATATTCTTTTTCCTCACTTGCTTAACCTTACTTTATTTTTCAGAAGTGAATTGCTCATCCTTGCCTTTCCCTCATTGTGCCTAAACTGCACTTTATTTCTCATAAGCTAATTGTGCATCCTTTCTTAACAGTATTTTATCTTTCCCGACAAAATTGCTTATCTTTTATTTCTTGTAACCAAATTGCTACTGCAAGCCCTTTCAACTTATTTTCCTTATCTTGCATGTTCCAACTCATTGCTTACTCCCTTATCTATTAGTGCTTACTTTCTTATTTCATATGTCCTGTTTCTGCTATCTTGTATGTTTTGCTTTTGGTATTGCTTCAGCTAGCCTATGTCCAATGGGTCCCCTTCACCCTGACTTCCTCTGCCATTCTCCTGCCTCAGTAGTACCCACTGTTCCTTATTACTCCAATCCTAAGATCAAGAGTCAGCTGAAATTTGTTATTTCAGTGTTTCCCCATCCATCTTCACTTGTTTGGTAACTGTTTAGCCCCAGTCCAAATTCCTTGGCTGAACTGGACTTTGGGTTTTACCAGAGAGGTCATTATACTACAATTCAAGCAGCAGGAAAGTCACTCTATGATTTAGTCTAGAGGAGACAGTGACTCTTGGACTGAGTTTACTTAATTTTAGTCTTTGTTTTAGCAGTATTTTGTCAGTCTTAATTCCTGGTGCTTGGTAGTTTCTGGAACGTACTAAGTATTCAATACTTTGTCAGCCCAAATGAGAGACTGAGGCATGAGTCTCAACCAGCCGAGGTTTGTTAAGCCCAAGAAAAATACAAGTCACAGAAAAGTTTGTGGCCTGTGCTCTTCTAAGAGGTTTTTAGGAGGCACTGCCTGCCTGCCTGCCTGCCTGCCTGCCTGCCTGCCTGATGTTCAACATTCATTGAAAGAGAATTTTGCGCGAAGGCCAGAATTTCGATATGGCGCGTGACGAGTGGTGTCAATCTTGGCTTGTCACTGCACCTTCTGCTTCCCGGTTCAAGCAATTCTGCCTTGCTCCTGGATCTGCTGAGTAAAGTATCATCAAGGCACGCGCCAACCAACCTGTTTCATAAGGTCCCTCGGCTAATTTTTTTGATTGTTTATTTTTTTTTTTTCTTAATTTTATGAGGTGAGTCTTTGCTCTGGTCGCCGCAG